CATCCGCGCATCGGCTATTTATACATCGAATGGAAATTTTTCAATGCCTCGAAGCAAAACATCGATAATTTAGATGCATCCCTAGACATCATTCTCTCGGAAATTGAGCCGAATTCTCTAGAATTGGAAGCATATGAAAGCAACAAGCATTGTTTCAACTGGCTCCGACCAATGATTTGCAGAAGATTCTGAACAAACGAGAAGACTTTGGAGCTCATCCACTGTGAATGGTAAGCAGAAATGCGGCTCCAAAATTCTGTCAGAAAATAAAGCTTTGTCGAATTATTTCAAGGACGCCTGCGGACCCTGCAGATACGAGGAGGGAAACCTGGCAGCAGTCCTCTAGAGTATACTTAAAACATGAAAATTTTGCTCCTGAACGCTTTTTAATTGTGCTAAAGGTGACGCATTTGACGAATAAGATCCCAGACTAAGATACAAGAACACCAATAATGCAGTTTAAAAACAGAAAGGACCTTAGAGCCAACGGAACCTCAATGTACCTCAGTACATTTTTTGAAGTTCATCAAGTCCTTAAAAATAAACGTAATAAGAAAACCAATTAACCACCTTTTTGTCGATTTAAAAGTAGCATTTGATAGCAAGCTGCCTTTACAACGTCTAGTCTTAATTTGAGTTGTCGCAAAACCAATACAACTGTGTATGTAGAATGACGTTGAGCACAACCATCACATCTGTTCTAATAACGAAGTTATAACTTTACCATCAGTAATGGTGATCAAGCGAACAATAACTCTTGTCAGTGCTCGATTGACAATTTCAAGATTTTTGGTGGCATTTGAGATCTATGACTCTATTCGCGGGGTGACGGGTACCGAAGAAGCTGGAATAACGAGCGTACGATTAATACAATACCCGCTTGCGACGCCTTAAACATGTGGTACGATGCTCCGTTGCAAAAATATTTCTATTTGGCATATCGCATAGATGGACCACGTAGAGAGGAAAATTGCTAAGTTTTTGGTCTTCACACTAACCGACATACTTTTGTAGCGCCAAATAAGAAAAATTAATTAGAAAATTAAGTGAAAAATATTACTTTAGCAAATGAGCTTCTGAAAATTGGCTGCTTCCTTTTGATCCCAATGGGGTTTGCATTCCTCCACAACTGCAGTTAAATATTAAAAGCTTTCGAATAAGCTGCTATCGGCCATGGACATTTCATTAGTATTAATTTTATTTATTTACCACGAGGCTAGTATTAATAATCTGCTTATTTGACAACTGCATCCTCTGCCTTGTATTCGTTTTCGTTATTCTGCTTGCTCTCTCCATCTTCGCTTTCAATCTTCATTTAACAAACTACTGCTTATGTACAAAGCCATTTTGAACTTCAGCCAGGCGAACTTTGTTTACTTAGCAGCAGCAGCAGCAGCAGGCAGCAGCAGCAGCAGCAGGGGCAGAGGCAGCAAGCATCTTGTAGTCAGCGGTCGACCGGAAGCAACTGTAAATTGCTTCCGGCCAAACGATTTTAAGATTTTCAGCGCTAGTGAAAAGAGGCTCTTTTTCAACGCGCACACAGGCTTAATGAAAAAGAAATTGTAAAATAAATTAATAGAACAAAATAAAAAATGCATAAGCTCTACGTAAAAATGGGGAAAAAATTCACATTAAAAGCCTAAGTAAGCGAAATGTGAAATGCGGAGATGAAGGAGAAAAAATAATACAAAAGAAATGCCGCAATAGCTTGGCAACTTCCAGGAAATGAAGTGCAAAATATTGACTGGAAAAAAACTTTTTGTTACAGAGCAAAGTGCGACAGGCAAATGACGGCAGAGGTGTATTTATTTACGAAGTTAGCGGCAGCAGTCGTGTAGCTGTCAGTTAGGAGCGGCTAAGGATTTGTATGCCGAACTATGTACAACGTACATATGTAAAGGAACGGGTTTGCGACTACTGAATCAGCACACTTACCAATATACTCATATATGTATGTATGTATGTACATTAGACTGTGTCAAATAAAAGGACCATTTTTTTACGGTTAAGGCGAGTCGCACACGGATCAACTTTCAGATTACCCTATGGAGACGTCTTAACCGACTCCAATCGGGACCAGAATTTGTATGTGATGTCTTCGACTTTATCAAATCATCAAATTAAAAAAAATTTAATTTTTTGAGTCTCCATAGAGGCATCTGGCCTTTGACGCCTTTACGACACGCCTTAACCGACTCCAGTCGGGACCAAAATTTATTTGTGATATCTTCGAGTATGGTAGTATCGATTTTAGGTATCAGATGAAAAAACTTAATTTGAATTTTTGAGTCTCTGTAAAGGAATCTGAACTTTGCCCCCTATATGACACGCCTTAATCGTATACAAACGGGCCAAAACTTATATGCGATATCTGTGACCGTGGTATTACCGATTGACGAGGTAAGACTGCAAAAATCGTTCATTGGTTTTTTAAGGACTACCCTAATGTGCACATGTACGTGTGGTTGCATAATTTTACCTGCAACATTTTTTGTTTGCAATTTCGTTGTTGACGTTACTACTTTTATTGCTATTGTTGTAATTAGAACACTCCATAATAGTTGTTAGTAGTTTTTGTCGCCTTCGCTTTCGCTTGTTTGCCCCCAGCACAGTTGGCAACTATTAGCGAACTTTGCACTAACGTCACTTTTAATTTGCCTCGCGAGTCATGCTTGCTGCTTTGCTAGCGCACAGTGGTATGACTTCTTGTAAATTTGAGCAAATTGTCAGTGCATCGGACTTATTACGAAAGTCGCAAGTAAGGTTGTATTCGAGCTGGAATAAATGCGGCAGTATTACTTTTTATGAAAGAAACCTTGCTAAAAACGCAGTCTGGCTTCTCAACATATTGTAATTAAGAAAGACGCTCTACTGTTTACAGCAAGATTTCTTTCTCAGGGTTATGGGGTAGGCGGATGAAATTCAATTAGCTATGCGAATGTATGGCTTCCGAGGCTAAAAAACAACAGCAACGAAAAAGCAATGTAGAGGTTGCCATTCACCGAAGAGCTACCACCATTACAAAAAAAAAAAAACATTGGGGATGTTAATCTGACCATGAATCAACCAAGAGGCCTAGTGGGTTCTTGTGCGAACTATTCCAACCACGGCGGCTGCTGAGGTTTAGCTTCAAACATAGCTTCAAAGTCTTTCTCCCTAATTTAAACAACCAGGACAGTGAACGATTTTAACACCGGAAGAATAGACACATTTGGTATGCTGGAAGCTCGCACGTTACCACTCGAATCCCCACAAACCATTCTCATTACAAAACAGAATTGGTCAGTAGAAAATTTCGTCAGAACCGTGGCCTTATGTGAATTGCAAATTTCCACAGTTCATTATTCCTTCCCAGTGCCGACTGAGCTTACTAAGTCATATTTTTTTAGAACTCAGTGCTGAGTTACCCATCACTTACAGATGCAAAATAGACTATCATCACTTCTGCTACTTCTGATAAATTACAACTGACTATTCCTAGTCCTTCAGCGAAAAAATTTCTTTCTTTTCAGAAACTTGTGCATACCTTGCCGAGCCCTAACGTTACACACAAGAAAAACAGTGCTGTGACTGAAATAATCAAAACAGAATTGTTTCAGGCTAAGTCGGTGGCCATTTTGTTGACTCTTTTGTATTTATAGAGCCGACTATCCTTATTTCACACCTTCATATTCGAGAAGTAGTGTGTTATTCTAAGTCCAAAACTATTTATATATATTATATCATAGACCTGTTTTGAGAAATCTAAGAAAAAGTTCTCCGAAGTGCTCAGTAAAAGGTAATTATTTTCAACCCCGAAAAAATAATTACCTTTTAAGTTTTCACCGAGGAGGAACGAGCGACAGATTTTTCACAAGTTCGAGAATATATTCCTATAGTCCTCGCGTACGGCAGGTTAATCTGTGAAGCTTTCGCTTTTATAAAAAGCTCCATATCACAAATGACAGTTTTTTCCATCATCTTAAAATGTAGACCTTCTTTGAAGGCGTTATCTAGGTTCCGTTTCTTTAATTTGAGGTCTCATTGAGCACTCTCTCTCTCTCTCTCTCTTTAACCTTGGCCTCTCTAAGTCGTGGTGTTGTGGCAATTGACAATACCAATGAAGTTCTAAAGCAGTTACTTTTCCAAATTAGTGAATTTTCCACTATAAAGGACGAGTTACCGACCCAAAATGTTGGCTTGGTATTAAATTTAAATTTGTAATTATTTTTCGTAGCAATTATTTTGTTCCTTTTGTTGCTCCATCTGTGTTTTTCCTTGCTTCGTGCATATACACATAACTAGTAGTATAACTAGTATAACACATACATACATAGTCGCTACTAAATTTATTAACTTAGCCCCTTTTCATTAGTAACTCCACTGTTTTCTTGTAATTTCCAATTACATTATACATACATATTTACGTCATTGCACTTAAAATTCCTTGCTGGCGTTGCCGCTTCTGTTGCTGTTGTGGTTGTGGTTGGTGTGTGCTTGACATTTTCATTGTACTCCTCTGGTGGTTGGTGGTTGCCAAAAGTTTGTCATTAATTTACATATGTATTAACTATTTTAGTAGCGCTCGCACGAGCGCCTTGTTGCTCTATGCACAAAGCTACAACTATTTTGTTTTGCCGTTTTCTTGTTAATAGTTATTTTATACATATTTATTTCACTACACTTGTTTTTGTGGTTGGTTGTGGGTGCTCGTTGCTCTTTAATTTTATGGTCGTTGCTGCCTTTTCCGTATGCAAGTTTTTATTACTTTTTACATATTTTTCAACAACGCCATCAAATGGTTTTTAATTTTTAAATTTCAATTTTCATTGTTGACCTTTTTAAAATGTTTATTTTTGTTGTTCATATTTTGTTGTTCATATTTTGTTTTTTCCCCATCTCAGCCCAACCAAATTGCCAACGATATTTAACGGTCACTTAATTGCTTGCATAATACAGCGCAAAAGCGATAAAAATTAATTATTTTACGGTTACTCATACCACAGCGCGGCCTTAATTCTCATTAGTGTGCGGGAGTCAACAGTCGGCAGCAGGCAAATTTGTATGCAACATACTTATGTATGTATGTACGTAGGAGGTGTGGAGGTATGGAGGTATGTTGTGAAAAAGGACGTAATTAATGTATTTATAACAGCTTTGGATGTTGGAAATCGTTGCTGAGTGAAATAAATCCTTGCAAAATATGTACACGTAGTATATGCATATATGCACATTAGGGTGGTCTAAAAATGCATGTGCAAAATTAAACTCGGAATTTTAACGCTATCGCCCCCTAGGATTATTCTATAACGAAAAAAATATAGCCCGATTTTTTTCAAGTCAAAAAATATTTAGAGGTGGCTCAAAGTTTTCCGTGTATTTTATATGAAAAAAACAACTTTTCGTAGAAATGGTATAGAATTCTTGAAAATCAAAATTTTTCGCTCCGAACACTTTGTTTCTCTTCAGGAGATACCCAATAATTATACCCGATTATTTATTTAAACATTTTTTCATAGTAACTAGATATATTTTATAGGTCCGCCCATACCGTCTGAAAATGCCAGAAAATGCAGGGGGTATACAAAAAAATCAGAGGTGGTTGTGTTTTGCTTAAAAAGTACTTATTTTCCCATATAAAATACATGGAAAACTTTGAACGCTTTTGAGCGACCTATAAGTATTTTTTTATTTAAAAATAGGGGTATATTTTTTTGGATATAGAGCAATCCTAGGGTGTGAGGGCTTTAAAATTCAGACTTTACAAATTTTGGACTACACTAATGCAAATACATACGGTCAAATGCAGCCTGCAGCCAGGCAGTGACGTCCTTAAAACACTCAACAAATTTCTTGTTTAGAACTGGGACGAATTTAGCAATTCCAGATCACTCATATCCCTCTTCGAAATGTCGCAGTATCAAAATTAAAGTAAAGTAAAATATACTTAAATTTTTCATTGCCCGAGCGGCCTGTTCGCGGATCTCCGTAATGGTATGGCCAGCGTTAAAGCCTCTACTTTATCGGCAGTAGCAGCGCCAGCAAAGTGACCACTGCGATCGTGGTACTATGCTTATGTCCAATTTAACCCAGCTGCTGTTCGTAGATGTTGGAATTCTCCTCAACTTGTCAAAGTAGCGACCTTAGAGTGCGTTAGATAACTTTAATTTGTTGTTGTCTTGTAGCAGATCTTCGCAGATCGAGCTAATTGTTGCCAACCTCAAGACTTTGATCGCAGTCTGGCTGTCTATAATAAATATGTAAAAGCAAAGTCGATTGCGGCTACTATTTTTGTTTTATATGTCAGTTCAAAAATCATTGCAATAATCTGAAAATCAGTAAGCCAGAACTTGTTCCATTGTCCATTTTATTTAGTATTGTAAGTGAATACTGGAACCTCTTAGTTGCTAGAAATGATGCCAGATAGCGGCCTTTTTCTATGGCCTTTTCTATAGGCCAAATACGAAATCCGTGTCAAGATAAGTAGTCAAAGTACATCTTTTTGAACCCAACTCTATCTAAGTCACAAAGCTGCGTTATCTGCAGAGCATTCCAAATATTTCTGCATTTTTAGGTTTATCGCTGCACAGTCTAGTAGTTTCTAGTCTCGCTTGAACTTCGAGCTAACTGCTGGCATTACATACTGATATGTCAAATAGTATTGTATTCCTTTCAAGCTGAACAGATGGGTTTGATGGCAACGACTTCCCACCCGACCGGGGCCTCAGGACTTTAAGTTATAGCTAATATTACGTAAGGCTTGGAAAAGTATACATAGTGCATTTTAAATCATGTCCTCTCTAAAACGTTTTGAAAATTGCTCCTTGAATTTTTTATCCCTCAGAATCTGAAGAAAACTAAAAACTAGGATTTGAAATTGCTATTGATAGAGAGCGAGAAGCAACGGCTACATCACCGTCATGCAGTGGTGAGTTTTCGTTAACACGAGAACCTCATTAGATAGATCGTGTCAGCTGACACGTTCTACGGCTTTACGTCGGTGGCTGGTTGAGCTATAACACTTATGACAATTTTTTTTTTATGAAGTAATTGAGTATTTTGTGGTAATTTCTGTTCTTAACCGAAACGGGTTTGCGCCAAATAAAAATTATGTACTACCCTAATATGCACTTTATTTCAAAATGATACATATACCTTTATATATATTTACATATATTCCCGCACAACTTAATTTCGTTATTTTTCACGCTTGTCTGCTTCCAGAATTTTCATGTATTCCTGTTCATTTACGTTCATGATTCACATTTCCATCTCCGCACGGTCCTGGTAACATCAGTACTTATTAAACACATAAACATGTCGCATATTTTAATTAGATGTTATTAAAATGTTGCGAAATAAAACACTTTTCATGCCTTACTTCATTAAACATAAACGGAAATTATGGTTAATAAATTACAAAACGCCATTTTTTGCGTTCGAGATGAGACGGTCAGATGACTTAACAAATAAGTGTTCACATTAAATATATATGCGTGTTTTCAAAACAACTGCAAACAGACAAAAGTTTACTGACTGACTTTTAGCATATTTAAAAGAACTTTGCTAAGTGGCTAACTAATATTGAAAACTGTAGGCTATGGTGTTCTGGAGCGCTTTCATCCCAATCCAGATCATACAAATTATTGCGCCTTCGAAATGGGTGCCCTGTAGGCAAGAAAAGAATAGGTTGGACGGTGTGATTGGAGAAATGAAACAGTAATGTTTTACACGGTTGGATCAAAACTTCAAAGTAGAGTGGGTGGAGGGGTCTAGTTTCGAAAATCTTGCCTGATCACTCCTGCAAACTGCAGTATGATGAGGTGTAATCACCTCAAAATGTTCTTGTTTTAACTTTTTGTGTATCTGTCCGAACTTCGAGCAGACTTGCGATGACTACTGTTTTCTGGACTAATATTTTTCATATTTAGGTTTTATGAAAATTCTCAAGGTATGCAAAATTTATGTTTTTTTGCGTTTAATTTGAAAATTCCGCAACACCCTCCATTCAACTCTAACCACCACAGTTCTGAACCAGGATATATTTCACTTGGACACGATTCCCCTAATGGGTAAACACAGCGGCCAAATTTACATATGTATGTATGAGCAATTATGTGCACATAGTCATATGCAAATGTGTAACTAATTCGATTATAGTTATTTATTCATACGAGTTTCTAATTTACTTGACTATGCAATGGCCTAAATATGTACATACATAGAAACATACGCGTGTATTTGAATACAAAATATGGTTTAAAAAAATTACAGCCTGCACGCATTCTCATACATATTTTATTTTTGTATACTTTTCAATGCATTTTCAATTCATAATATTTGCATTCATGCGCACATATGTATGTATGTACATATGAATGTATTTTCACTTCCACCAAATTATCACTGACTGAATTAACTCTGATTTTATGGAATTCTGATTGTATCATTGCGAATAGGGATTAAAATTAAAACCAAATTAAGAACAAACTCTTGTAAATATTTGTTTATTTTCGATATTTGCATATTTTGGATTACTGATTTTTAGTGCAACAATTAACAGACTGCACGCAAATGTGTATATAAATTAATACATCATTTTAATAAGTAAATACTTTAAAAAAAAAATTTTAAATATACAAATCTAAAATTTAGAGCAAACTAAGTACATCCTTGTTATGAGAGTTAATTATTTGCAAATAGTTATTAAGTACCGTTGTCTCGTGTAGGTCTTAAAATTTACCTGCTCTTTAAACGCATTTTTTCAGAACAACATTTTAATTTGAAGGGCAGATGAATTTCAAAACCATTTTTTTTCTAAATAAATGCGAATATTAGGTATTGAATAGAAATTAACTAAGCTAAACGGAAAATTTGAAGGAACGATGGGAAAATTTATTTCCTAATTACCTTTAAAATACTCCCCTTCAATAGAATTAACTGTACATATGTACAAAATTCAGTATTAAAAATCTATACTTGTTAATTCTCGCTTAATCCTTAGCGCCAATATTCCCAAGTGCCCTGCTAGTCGTTAAAGTACTTTTCGCATTAACAGCCTTTCATTTAATAGCCTTCAATATAAAATCCCTTTCAAATATTCATGCGTTTTTATTAAAAAAAAATAAAATAACTTAGCTTAGTTCGCTTTGAGTGCGAAATCTGGTGAAAATAAGATACGTATGTATATTAAACAATTAAGTGAAATGTATATATATATATATATATACCTGTAGCACATATACAGAGAAATATTCGTTTTCAGATATGTAAAAATTTAATGTTTTACTTTTAAAAACGTTTTGAAGAATGCCCTATTTCAGAATTTTATTGAAAATTACCCTATCTCGGAATTTGGTTGAAGAACGCCCTATCTCAGAATTCGGTTTAAAAACGCCCTATCTTACTTCAAAATACATATATCCAACCAAATTCTGGAATAGGGCGTTCTTGAAAAGTTTTTTCAGATAGAGCGTTTACGACAGCTTGCAGCATAGAGTGAACGGAGGTATTTCGCACATCATCTCTGCTCTGCATGGCCGTCGCAAACGACCTGCGAAAGCAGCTGGAAAGGAACAGAAAGTGACAGATGGCGGGTCAGTTAGATTTCTAAGTCCCTCATGTGATTTAAGCCAAGTTACCTAACGACCTCACTTTCAAACCTAGCAAGACTGAACTGTTTTTATTTACTAGGAAGTACAAGATTCCGAACGTAATTCAGCCCTCCATTGAAGGCCATTGTCTGCATCTCTCTGATAGGGTTAGTGCATTGCCCATTATTTCTTCTATGGCGCTTAATGCCATGCTGAACAAATTATCGTTGATATTGCACGAATTCACTTAAGGGATAATTTCTGGATCATTAAACTTGTTCTCGGATAGATCAAAACTTGAATATAGGGTGAAGTTTGTGAGAACGGGCTGGAGTGTTTTTCAAATTGAAGTAGAAACCATTAAAGAATCATTATGTATTTTGTAGGTGGGATGCCTGTAAAAGAGAAAAGCTTCTACAGGTTACCTGTAAGGTTATTAGGTGGCACAACTATCCAGTTTTGTAAATCGTATTTCTTAATCAAACCTGAAGATTTGTTTTAAATGTTATCTATATTTCCGA